AATTCCAGTATGTCGCAATAAGAAATCAAATTATCAGTAACATGGGAAATTTGGTACTCAAGCACCTTTCTATATTAGGCAATAGTTTCTTTTGATACTCAAGTGAGATTCCTCTATATATAAGCAACAATTTTAATATTTTGCAATAAACTTTCCTAAAAATGGTTTTGTAAATTGTATTAAACTATACTTATATTAATTATTTAAATGAATTGGCATTTTTTTAAACAATATTTTTAAAACCTGATGTGCCGATATTTCACAAATATATTTATTCTTCATAATGATTTGAATAATGAGCATTTAACAAATTTTAGCAAAGCCAGCTATTTTAAAAAACTTTTTTCATTACGCCAAATACCGATATAGCTTAGTTTTCAAAAAATCGAGCTTTGAAGTTGGAAATTTGTGGTTCAATAGAAAGAAGTACAGAATGTTAATAGGTATTTAAACCCATACAGTGAGTTGCAACGCATGCTTTTAAGTTAAATATGTCCAGCAATAACAAATCTAGGAAATGCAATAAACCGATAATCAAACCTTGAAAACCTTGAAAAATTTTGTCTGTTCTGTCTGTCTCTTTCAAAAAAACAAATACATTCTTTGGATCTACAACTTTTTAGGGACTGAATTTTGTCCCTGGTGCTGCAGTAAACTATGTCTTAAAATTTCTTAATAATATACACACCTCAAGTAATGTGAACGTTTTAGTTTTCTCACCTAATATCGCCACATATATATCTGGTTGCTTAGTTATTTCTATTTACATATCTACTTTGTTTTTGTAGTTGAACTAATATATAAAAACACAGAACGTTTTAGCAATATTTTTTTTTTTGGTTTAGGTTACAGGGATTACATACAAAATCATGTTTTAGTTGTAATGTACGTATAGAATTTAATAATTTTAATATACATTAAAAACTGTAACAATATAAAAAATATATATCTATTACAAATATTCGCTATATAAAAAATTATAAATAAAAATAAAAGAATTGTGCATTGTTTTGTACTTGGTTGTATAATACGAGTGCGGTTTGATAAGTCAGTGACTTTGTAATGATCTTATTTGATCTTATTAAAATCTGATTCTGATCTTGATAAAATCTGAAAATCTGATCTTATTAAAACAAATTTTTTCGGCAAAATAAACATTTTATTTTTCTACATAATCAACTTTTAGCTCGACACATTTAGTCCAGCGTTTTTCTAATTTTCTTATTCCCTCCAAATAATAGGTTTTCTCAAAGCTTTCAAAATACGCGTTTGTTTCGATAATGACTAAAATCTCTTACCGCCCAGCTATTTCCTTAGGTTTGGGAACAGAAAATAATCGCAGGGGGCTAAATTTGGAGAATATGCTCGATAGTGTAGCAGTTCGTATCCCAATTCGTGGATTTGGGATCGTAATGCTTAATCAGCACACGAAATTCGCTTTTTTCCATTTTCGTAAAAATTCACGAGGTTGTCTGCTTTGAACGGCTATCAAACACCAACTGAACGACATAGCTTGCTCAAAATTAAAAAGTTGCCAACTGGTAGATTACAGCTGACAGCAGTACTGTTACATTTGGAGTAACTGCGCGGGAAATTCAAAAAGCCACTGACTTATTAAACCGCCCTCGTATTTTATGTTTTCCTGAGAGTGTTTTTAGTTTACAAAAACATATTACTTTATCGGAATCTTCTTACATTGATACATATAATTTCAGAAGATCTTTCAACAGATCATAAAGCTATATTATACAAAATATAAGTTATTAATCAGTTTTTTAAGTTAGTTATTTTTGTCTGAAAACTATATGAACTATATAAATATATAAAAGTTTTTTAAAAAAATTCTTATTTAAAAATATTAATAAAATAAATATTTTGAATTACAGCTATTAGAATATATTTTATATTTTATATGAAAAGTTTCTAATTTTATAACAGCCGCAATATTATTTATATGAGTATACATATTAAAGATTATTCGGAAAGTAACTTCGTTTTTTTGTTTTATGAAAATGAAAAATTATTTTCTTATAGTGAATAAATATTTTACTGAATTATATATAATCATTCTGATCAAATATCTTTTGCCATCTTTTTAATAGTTTCATGATTCCACGCTCATAAAATATTTATTATTTGATTTAGATAAATTTTTTATCTCTTCATTAAATGCAAAAGTTTTACCACTTAAGTAATTTTGTAAAAAATTAAATAATAATTAATCAAGTGGTACCAGAATTATAGAATATGGTGGTAAAAGCAGTCGAAGCTTTTGGCAAGTTAAGAAATTTGTATGGGTTCTCGCACTATTTTGAAATCAAACAAATATTTTCACATGCAAGCCTTGCTAAACCACCTGTCATAATATATCATGATTATGCGGCTTATTTGTGAAGAACACAGTTAAGCCCTCTGTTAGAAAAAACCGAAATTACTTTTCGAATAACCCAATAAATAAATATATATATATATATATATATA